CCCAAATTAGAGAACATAAAACAAAATCATAAAACTATAACAAATATATAAGCTATGATAGTAAATCTAAATGAATTAAATTCTTTGATAAAAACAAAAAATACTTTTTAAAAATGACTAAATGAATTGTATTTTGCTCTAAAGATCCATACCTAAAATAAAATGGCACAGAAAAGTTAACAATAAAAATGCATAATATATTTCTGATAATATGAACAAAAAGAAAACAGATAGCAAAATCAGTAACATAGTAACTCTTCCATATCCAAGTGTTTATATTGTGTAAGTGGATATTAGCAAATCAGTCAAGGGCTTTGAGAAAAATTTATTATTCTCAACCTATTGCAGAGGATTAAAAAAAAGTATATGAATATCAAAGAAATCTTTATCTTTCACTTTAGCTTATTTGCTTATTACCTTTTTGTCAATGTTTTAGGACTACCGCATGAGCCAGTTATAGCTATGGAAGCAGTTCCTGTTCTGTCATTAAATGTTCTTAGAAACCTTATTGTTGGTGAATTGTTAAGCATATTCCAGAGGAACTAGAAAGGCATTTTTACACTAATTTTAGTCTCTAATAAACTATACATATGACTGACACTGTCATAAAACTAAATATGCAGTTACTACCTTTTGTAATGATTTAAACTTTAGGTCAGTAAACTGAAATCTGAGTGAGTGCTACAAACTTTTAAAACTAAAAGAAAACCACAGAGATCACTAACCAAACCTTTCATTTTCTGTATGAAGAAACCAACTGACCGCAGCCAAGCTAACCAACAATCTGCCTATCATTTCAGCTAACTACAGCTGAGTCTAGAATGTCTCTTTTCTGATTCCCAATGGAAAATAATCTCTCTTCAGAATACTTTCTTTAGGGAAATGCTGTGAAAATACAAATATTTTAAGTAAACCAAAAATTCCAAGAAACTATTAAAGTTTAAAAATACAAATTTGGGCCTCCCCAGTGGTACAGCGGGTTGAGCGCTGCACTTGTGAAGCTGTCAGCGCATGTTCGATTCCCGGCCCGCCAGAGAGATGCCCACATGGCGCTGTAGACCTCTCCTGCCTCGCCCACTGCTCCCCTCAGCAGTGGCTTCGGTTCATCTGCCTGCTGCCCGCTCTGACTCTGGTGAATTCTCTCACCCTCTGTGCCTCTGGCCTGTACCCCAGCTCTTGTATAAATAAATAAATCTTCAAAATAAATAAAAATACAAATTTGTTGAAAATTTGACCTATGATAAGTGTATTAACAAAAATTAATAAGCTTTAATTTTTATCTTATTATTGATTTGTTCATTTATTTTACATACTGAGGAAGACTGATTCAGAGGGCTCAGGTCATTTTTTTTTTAGCTGGAGAAATTTTGACGTCTTGCCTTTTATTCACTCAGTTTAGCATAAGTTTCCAAGTCATATCTTCATTACTCAGAATTGTGATCTTTTTTTTTTTTTTAATAGAGGCATGTTTATTTATTTATTTGTTTATTTGTTTGTTTTGTTTATACAAGCACTGGGTACAGTCAGAAGCGTGGGAGGGTGAGAGAATTCACCAGAGTCAGAGCGGGGAGCAGAGCAGGCAGAAGGACCGAAGTACACTGCTGAGGGGAGCAGCGGGCGGCAGGAGAGGTCTGCGCGCCATGTGGGACCCTCCTCTGGTGGCCGGGGAGCAGCCGGGGATTGAACCGGCGCCACAGAGGCCGCGGGCAGCTTCGCAACCCAGCGCTCAATGGCTGCGCCACCAGGGAGGCCCTCAGAATTGTGATCTTTTAAAGAATTTTATTTGCGAGTATTTAGAGCCCTGCTAATCAGTGCCACCCACCAAGAGCTTCAGAATCACCATGTATTTGTGAGCTTTGCAGAATGGCAGCTTTCCCTTCCCTAGACCTGGGCCTGCTAAACTGGAATCCATGTGTAGATGAATTCCAGATAATTCTGATATACATTTATGTACATTGGAGACAATTCTGATGTACATTATTGAAGTTAATAATCTCCGAATCTGGTGTTTTTGCTCTTTCCTTGTCTCCTTCTTCCTCACCTTTCTTTCATTTTTCTCATACACACCCAAAAAAGAAACAGAGAAATATTGGGGTATTGGGGTTTTGTTTTTGTTTTTTGTTTTTTGTTTTTTTTTTTTTGCTTTTAGAACAACTACATAGTACTCTTTGCTTTTTTACTTTATACAGTGGATTTTATGTTTTTTTGAGGTGATGTTAATTTACATCATTGTTTGTATGTTAGGTATAGGTCTCCCCCCACCCCACTTTCTGGTGATGTTTTAAAGGCAGAAAGAAGTTCACTTCAAGCATGTAGACAGAGGAGAGGTAATATATCTCTCTTCTTTTGAGGATCACTTAGGAGACTAGCTCATTATACTTATATACCTTTGGTGTGTTTTTCAGTATCTAGCAGATGTACATTCTTTTCCTTCTTCGAGGTTCCTCCCAGGTTCCTCCCAAGTTATTATTCACAGTAGTCCCTGCTGTCCAAACCCAAGCTTGTATAACTGCATTGAAAAGTGGAGTACAGGAGTTAATTATACAGTGTTGAATTTACAGAGGGTTAGCCACAAAGCTTCAAAAGCAGGGACTGCCTGTTCCAATTAAGGACAGAAAGCAGGCAAAGGATTTATTGTTGGTTATGTAACCTGGGAACCACTATGAATAACAACCATTGTGAGGCAGAAGAGAAATAGTTGTGATTAAAAGCAAAGTAAAATACCTAAGTCCAGGCTTCCATATACAAAGATGATTCTAGTGAGTGATGGATTGAAAATCTAGTGTAGTGATTAAGAACTTAGACTCTGAGCTAAACTTTTCTTTAAAAAAAAAAAAAAGCTTATTTATTTACATAGAAGAACTGGAGTATATGTCAGAGGTGCAGGGATTGGGGGTGGGGGAGTGAGAAGATTCACCAGAGACAGAGTGGGGAGCAGAACAGGTGGATTTTACAGAAATACACTGCTATGGGGAGTAGCAGGAGAGACAGGAGAGGTCTGCTGTGCCATATGTGGGTTAGCTCTCTGGCGGGATTGAACTCAGGTGGTGATAGCAGTGATAGTGCTGAGACTAAACCCCTAAGTCACCAGGGAGGCCCTGAGCTAAACCTTTCTTGGCTTAAATCCCAGCTCATATATTTCCTGTGTCTTATGACATAGATAAGTTCCTTAACTTCTCTAGCCTTTTATTCTGACTATAGGGAAAAGAAAACAATAATAACTACATCACAGAGTTAGTTCCTGTAAGCAATAAATAAGAAGCTGTAAAAAAATACTACAATGTCTAAAACATAAGCACTTGGTAATTGTTAGGTTGTATTATTCATCCATTTATTTAGGGTGTATTATTCATTCATTTATTCATTTATTATTATTCTTCTCATGAGTTTACCTTCTGCAATGGCATTCTTTTAAGTGGATTTTCTGGGATTTGGCTCTGGTCTGTGGCCATGATAAAGTGCTGCAGCTTTAACTAGAGGATATTCTCCAGGGCTAAAAAGAGTGTCTGTTGGCCTTCTGAGATAATGCATCCTATGTTAGGTGTGGTGGTGATAGTAGTGGTAAGGAATGTAATGAAAGAAAATGAGAAATATCATACAATCCCAGGCCTCCCTGGTGGCGCAGGCAGTTGAGCTCAGCGCTGTGAAGCTGTCCGCAGCCTCTGCAGTGCGAGTTCAATCCCGGCCGGTCAGGAGATACCAACATGGCAGCATGTCTCTCCTGTCTCATGGCTGCTCCCTTCAGCAGTATGTTTCAGTCAGTCTCCCTGTCTCTGGTGAATCCTCTTACTTTCCCATGCATCTGGCCTATACCCCGGTTCTTGTATATATAAAATAAATCTTAAAAAAAGAAATATCATATAATCCCTTGAGGCACTTAGATTCTGAATTGCAAGAGATAAGATTTACCCATGCTTGGAGGAAAAGCCCAGCAGATGATTCCAGAGCAACATGTTCCTGTGTTGAAAATTATATAGTACTGATGTATAGAGGAGGATGTCTAGAGTGATTAAAAGGCAACCATCAATGTTGATCATTAGCAGCTTTTGTTATCTTCAGCTGTCTTCTATAAAGAAGAAGGAAAAAAAGAACTATTAGACCTATTAGGCAAAACTATAGTTTGAAATACACTAAAAATTTTTGTAATTTTTTATTTAAGTATAGTTACTTTTGGATCTTGATCTAGAAATGGACAAAGGACTAAAGGGCAGAACATGGAAAAGTACTGCTATGGACAGAGTTAAAATAGCTGCCAGCCTCAACCTCACTGCGGTTATATGAACACGGGGTACAGGCAAGAGGGACAGAGTTCCAAAGGGTGCTGTCAGATTGTGTTCTGTAATTTTTCATCATTCCTCTTAATGCTGACTGCCTTTTAATATTTTCAAAGGAATTTAGGCTTTAGAGAAAAATAGGAAAAATTAGGGGAAATTTATAAATGCTCAACAAATTTAGGTATTAAGATGAAGCTGTTAGAACTTGGGGAGTTTTCATCATGAGGAATTTATGAAGAAAACATGACTTAGAAAAATAGTTCAAAAATTGAAAACAATGTTGGTTTCTCATTTCCAATCTCCTTTGGTCCCTCTACCCTCTGCACATTCAGAGCCAGGTTAGAAAGATGCTTCTGTCTGCTGACCTGGAGGATGGGGAGGTGAGGCGAGCACTCATCCCAGGCCAGAGGAGGGAGTGGGGGGTTGGTAGTGGGAAAGAGCAGCAATTGCATTAATATTTTGGGAAAATGGAAAGACCTTGAGTGAAGTCTGTAGTAGTTAAGTAGACACAGTTTTCAAAGTCACTTGTGAAAAGTCTCTTGATCATCTTTAAAATTGAGAAAAAGCCACTGTTCAGGAATAAACCAGGACCATCACTAATTCTAGAAACTTATGAAAATTATCACGTGTCAGTGGGTGGTAAAGCATCGTACAAGGGTCAGTGGGGCCTGACTAATGGTTCAGTCTCTGATCTAATCTGCATTTCTCTTTGCTTCTTTCCCACAGTGCTCATGTATCCCAAGTCAGCAATGTTTCAACAACTGGAGAGTAAGTTGTTTGGAATGGGTCTTTCCCCTCCTTTCCTATTTATTAAACAGAAAGCTTTTTTAATGGCATATAGTTCAGGCACATCACGCCAGTGACAGTGACCACCATCGGCTATGCTATATAGCCTAGGTGTATATTAGGCAGTGCCATAATTACACTCAATAGTATCTGCACAAAGATGATATTGCCTAATGACACATTTCTCATAAAATATTCTCTTCGTTAAGTAACATGTGACTGTATTGGAAGATTAATACAAAAGGAAACAAATGATGACTTTTAAAACTATACAGAGGGGCATTCCTGGTGGCACAAGGGGTTAAGACGTAGCACTATGAAGCTACCCATAGCCTCTGCAGCACAAGTCCGATCCCCGGCCAGGGAGCTACCCACATGGCGTAGCAGACCTCTTCTGCCTCGCCCGCTGCTTCTCTCAGCAGTGTATTTCAGTCAATCTGCCTGTTCTGTTCCCCACTTTGTCTCTGGTGAATCCTCTCAACCCCCTACACTTCTGGCCTGTGCCCCAGTTCTTGTATGCATAAATAAATAAATCTTTTTAAAAAATGAAACTATACAGAGCAGAGGACTAAATAAGATGTGTTCCTATTTGAGCTTCTATGAGCATGTGTGAGTAGTGACTAGTCAACTATTCAAACATATGAGACTTTTATTTCAATAGAAATAGTATCAGGTCAGTTAATATTTGCAAAGCAATCTCTGTGCTTTGGGAATTACCTTATGACAAAGGATGCCATTAAAGATTAAAGTGTTATTTGTGTTCACTTCTTCATTAATTTTACTCAACCTACATTTATTTAATACTTACAATATACCAAGCATAATGTGAAGTGTGTAATATCAAATAAGCCTTAGGCTCTGCCTTTGTGAACTTTACAGTATCAAAGGGAAACAGAACAAATTATTGATAGTAACAAGTCTTTTACCAAAGGCCACTGGCTGTGTCCTATTAACTATACCCATTACATGTCCTTTTCTTCTAACACAACCAGTTGCACTTAGACTAAAGTCAGAACTTCAGTTGTCTGCCCATGCCTGCCTCTCTGACTACATTGCCCATTATTCTTTAAGCTTATTCCTGCCTTAGAGCCTTGCACAGGCTGTTCCTTACCATGGCCAGCATTTTCTTACCATTCACTTCCTAGTTCAGATGTCACTTCCTCTGAGCCACTATCTCGGACTATCCACAGTCACTCTCCAACACTTTTCTCCATTTTACACAAAATTGATCACTAATTAAAATTGCATGTTTTGTTTATTATCTTGCCTCATAGACACAGAAATATTATCTATCATATTCATTGCTGGATCCCTAGTACCTAGAAAAGTACCTGGCATGTAGTAGGCAGTAAATATATATGTTTGAAAACTTCCTTTCCCCAATTTTTCCATGACACCTACCTACCTTCTTTCTTGCTGGGATATAAGTGGGCCTTTTTGGAGCATCTTCCATCAACAGGAATCAGGTGAAGAAGGGAAGATGTGATGTGAGATGAGGAAGGAGAGGGCAGGATTAACCTCTCTGAGCTTTTTGAATTTTAAAGAGATTCCAGAATTATACCAGTCGCACATGTTCTTATCTATTTGTTTCCAAATGCTTTACTTCCTATATGTCTTATAGAGTACAGACAAGTTGTGGAATGAGTCTTTCTTTCTCTCTCTCTCTCTCTCTCTCTCTCTCTCTCTTTTTTCTCTCTCTCTCTCTCTTTCTCTTCTCTCTCTCTCTCTCTCTCTATATATATATATATATATATATATTTATATATTTCTGCATATTCATATGGTAATCTTGAATCATTGAGATGTGTTCTAGATTTGAAAATTCTAGTTGGACTATACTTGTTCATTGTTACATTTAATGGAATTACTTAATATATCATAAAACTACACTTGGAATACCGAAATGTTTTAAATTTTTCAAACCCATTTTATTTAAGTGAATGTATTTCTCAATTTGATTATTTTATTTTATTTTTTTAAAGATTTATTTTTTTTTTTTACAAGCACTGGGTACAGTCAGAAGCACGGGAGGGTGAGAGAATTCACCAGAGCCAGAGTGGGCAGCAGAGCAGGCAGACTGACGAAGTACACTGCTGAGGGGAGCAGTGGGCAGCAGGAGAGGTCTGTGCGCAATGTGGGACTGGCGGCCGGGGATCAAACCGGTGCTGCAGAGGCTGCGGGCAGCCTCGTAACCCAGCGCTCAACCACTGCGCCACCAGGGAGGCCCTCAATTTGAATATTTTAAAATATATGTGATTCTTTTTTAAATGTTGATAACTTTACTAAGGTATAAATGATATACAAAAAGCATATTTAATATATACAATTTTATGAGTAGGAATATTATTTTTTTCAAGAAAAGGAAAACATTACTGAGAAATATAAGTTTAGAATTTTCCATGCCAACTTATCCAAAACTAAATAGTGCAACAACAAAAGGATTAGCCATGCTGACAGATAATGAAGCTTTAAAAAGGATAGCATATCCATCTAATCATGCGTTCTTTTCAGCCCCAGGGCTTCCCTATTTTTCTCAGGTTGGATAAAGAAAATCTCTCTCCATCTTAGTAATATATATATATATATATATATATATATATATATATATATATATATAAATACTTGCATGAAACCACTTCAATTATAAACCTAACAATTTAATTGAATAATAGTTTAGAAAAATTTTGCCATTCTGTTATGAGTAGTAAATGTTCTGGTGAGGTGTTCTTTTTTAATAGCATTATTCCATAGTAATTTTATTTTATTTTCATTTTTTATTTTTTTAAATAATAAATTTTATTTTTATATTCCCCATACATTTCCAACCCCCTATTCTGACCCCAATCCCTCCCCTCCCGCCCCCCACTCCCCAAAAAGTGTCTCTGGTTCATAGTTTTTTGTTGATTTTGATTTTCAATTTCTTATAGTTATTCATTTTCCTGGTCCCTTATTTAAGTTCTCTAGATTCCTGCTATGAGTGAGACCATCCGGTATTTTTCTTTTTCTTTCTGGCTTATTTCACTGAGCATGATCCCTTCCAGCGCCATCCATGTTGCTGCAAATTGTATGTGTTTACCTTTTTTGAATGCTGAGTAATATTCCATGGTATATATGTACCACATCTTCTTGATCCAGTCATCTATTTTTGGGCATTTGGGCTGTTTCCAAAGCTTAGCTATTGTAAATAGAGCTGCTATAAACATAGGGGTGCAGGTGTTCTTTGGAATGGATGTTTCTGTGTCCTTTGGGTAAATACCTAGCAGTGGAATTGCTGGATCATATGGAAGCTCTATGTTTAGTAGGTCCAGAAATCTCCACACAGTTCTCCATAGTGGTTGGACCAGTTTGCACTCCCACCAACAGTGCAGAAGAGTTCCTTTTTCTCCACACCCTCGCCAACATTTGTTGTTGCTAGTTTTTTTTAATATGTGCCATTCTCACTGGTGTAAGATGGTATCTCATGGTAGTTTTGATTTGCATTTCCCTGATGACAAGTGATGTTGAACATTTTTTCATATGCCTGTTGGCCATTTACATTTCCTCTTCAGAGAAGTTTCTTTTTAGCTCTTCTGCCCATTTTTTTTTTTTCGTTCATTTTCTTTTTTTTTTTTTTTAATATTAAATTTTATTTTTATATTCCCCCATACAATTGCAAATGCCCCATTCTGACCCCAATCCTTCCCCTCCCGCCCCCCACCCCCCAACAAGTGTCTCTGGTTCATAGTTTTTTGTTGATTTTGATTTTCACTTTCTTATATTTATTTTCCTGGTCCCTTATTTAAGTTTTCTAGATTCCTGCTATGAGTGAGACCATCCGGTATTTTTCTTTTTCTTTTTGGCTTATTTCGCTGAGCATGATCCCTTCCAGTGCCATCCATGTTGCTGCAAATTGCATGTGTTTATCTTTTTTGAATGCTGAGTAATATTCCATGGTATATATGTACCACATCTTCTTGATCCAGTCATCTATTTTTGTCTTCTGCCCATTTTTTGACTGGATTCTTTTCTTTGTTGTTGTTGAGTCTCATCAGCTCTTTGCAGATTTTTGTGATCAGTCCTTTATCATTAGTGTTGGGTGCAAAAATGTTCTCCCAGTCAGTGGGGTTTCTCTTTGTTTTTGTTATTGTCTCTTTTGCTGTGCAGAAGCTCTTTAATTTGATGTAGTCCCAGCTGTTTATCTTTGCCTTCACTATCACTGCTTTGGGTGATGTGTCTGTAAAGATGTCTTTGATGTGCATATCATGTAGTGTTTCGCCATTTATTTCCTTCTATGCATTTTATGGTTTCAGGTCTTATGTCTAGTTCTTTAATCCATTTTGAGTTGATTTTTGTGTATGGTGTGAGGTAGTGGTCAAGCTTCATTCTTTTGCATGTAGCGACCCAGTTTTCCCAGCACCATTTATTGAACAGACTTTCTTTGCTCCAATGCATAGTCTTTGCTCCTTTGTCAAAGATTAGTTGATCATAAATCTGTGGGTTTATTTCTGGATTTTCTATTCGATTCCATTGGTCTGTATGTCTGTTCTTGTGCCAATGCCATGCAGTTTTGATGATTATGGCTTTGTAGTATAGTTTGAAGTCTGGGAGTGTGATGCCTCCATTCCCTTCTTTTATGCTGAGAAAGCTTTCGACAAAGTGCAACACCCATTCATGATAAAAGCCCTTGAAATTCTTGGGATACAAGGAACGTACCTCAACATCATAAAGGCCATATATGACAAGCCAACAGCCAGTATCATTCTCAATGGTGAAAAGCTGAAAGACATTCCATTAAGATCTGGGACAAGACAAGGATGTCCACTCTCACCACTGCTTTTCAATATTAATACTGGAAGTCCTAGCCAGAGCAATAAGACAAGAGAAAGACATCCAAGGAATCCAAATAGGAAAAGAAGAAGTCAAACTATCACTATTTGCAGATGATATGATAATATACATAGAGAACCCCAAAAACTCCACAGAAAAACTAATTCAACTCATCAATCAGTTCAGTAAAGTGGCAGGATACAAAATCAACACGCAAAAGTCAGTAGCCTTCCTATACACAAACAATAAATCTGAAGAAGAAGAAATAAAAAAAACCATCCCTTTTATTATCAAAACAAAAAAAATCAAATATTTGGGAATAAATCTAACAAAAGCGGTAAAGGACCTATACCAAGAAAACTATAAAACACTGTTAAAAGAAATAGAAGACACAAAGAAATGGAAAAACATCCCCTGCTCATGGATTGGAAGAATAAACATTATTAAAATGGCCATCCTACTAAAAGCAAAATACAGATTCAATGCTATTCCAATCAAAATTTCAATGTCATTCTTCAAAGAAATAGAACAATTATTGATGAAATTCATATGGAATCACAAAGAACCCCGAATAGCCAAAGCTCTCATAGTAATTTTATCTTAAACGGGTTCTGAATAGATGAAAGCATCATAAAATTATTGTGCACATTTGAATTGTAAGTCATGCTATCTTTCTCTGAAGTACTGGTGTGAAAGTTAAAGAAAATTGACCTTTGTAGGAAAAGGCCCATTATTACTCAATAAAGAAAAAAAATCTCTCCTTATTTTGCCTAATATTAAATGACCCTTATTTCCTGGGTGCCTCCTGTCATTGTTGCTGGACTAGGCATGAGCATATCGGTAGTCCTGTCTTCAAAGAGATAAGAAACAGAGTTACCAAATTGGTGGAATTTGTTCGATTAATTTGTATTTTAACACACAATGCAAATATTTTGAGATGAGTGCTTAATAAATTATCTTTGCTTGTGAAGCTGTAGTAGATCTTCCTTTGGGAATACTGATAGTGCCAAATTATGGGCACATTTTTTTAAAAAAGATTTATTTATTTATGCATACCAGAGCTGGGGTACAGGCCAGAGATGTGGTGGGGGGGGTGAGAGAATTCACCAGAGACAGAGCGGGAAACAGATCAGGCAGACTGACTGAAATACACTGCTGAAGGGAGCAGTGGGCAAGACAGGTGAGGTCTGCTGCACCATGTGGGTTGCTTCCTGGCCAGCTGGGATCGAACTCGTGCTGTAGTGGCTGGCAGTAGCTTGATAGCTCTGTCTTTAACCCCTGCGCCACCAGGGAGGCCCAGCACATGTTTTTTAAGGCAATATACTCTATGGCTTGCTTGATTCTGTGTTCCAGACTCTTGGAAAGAACCATTCGGTCAGCTGTCGAACAGCATCTTTTTGATGTTAATACCGCTGGAGGCCAAAGCTCAGATGACGCAGAATCTGGAACATTATCATCTTCCACCACATCCGCCAGACAGCGACGCCGCCAGTCCAAGGAGCAGGAGGATATTCTCCATGGCAGAGACCTGTGAGTTGACTCTGGCACTTATTTGTGCTTTCTCTCCTTCCTTTAAAAATATCCACCTAAATGTGTCACTGTGTTATAGTCACGCCCATCTCAATATTTAAGTTAAAACTTTCAAAGTTTTAGAATTGACCATTCTAAACTAACATTTGGGAATTTGTAGGTAACTGAATAAATATTTCAATTTTGTCTAGGTATTTGATATGTTATAGAAAGCCAGCTCTGATTAAATATATTTGCTGACCTCATGAATAGCTTATTTATAGGGCTAAATATGCCCTCTATGGGCTGACTCATTGAGAAGAAAATTGCCATATGCTGTTCTGGAGGTGGTTTTGTTCCTTGATAGACAACATTCATTTGGCTGTTAGGTTAGTTTACGAACCAGCAGATTTCTCTACTATCTTTACCCGAGTATATACTGGAATGTCACTCTATTATTCTTGACAGTTTATTATATTTTAGTGTAAGGAAGGTTGAGCTCAAATCTAATCAAAAGAGGAAGGTCTTGAGTTCTTTTACTATAATCATAATGACTAATTTCAAGGCATTCCCATAACACGAATTTTAAGACTAATATTACAAGGAGCTTTATTCTCAATTAAAACATCTGATAAAATACAAGCAATTGCTATCCACATTATTAAGTAATCATGACTTAAATTATCAAGGAAAATATTTTATATATAACAGACTGTATCCTTATTTTTCCTGAAAATTTCAAGTATATTTCTAGCTATAGTAGCACTAAGTGTCCATAATGTCTTGTTTTTTAGCTCCTGATGAAATATCAGACAAAACCAAACTTTAGTTCCCCTATTCTTTTTCACCTGGACTCAAAATCTAGATCAAAATCTTTCTGTTAAAGAAAGGCACAAGAGATAAATATCATAAATAAAGTCTGTGCCACATACCCCTGAGATGTTGAAGGGCTATATTAACAAATACAATTTTAAAAATAAAACATTATCAGCAAATATAGCAGACTAAATTTTCATGTGACATATGCAGCACTTTTTTAAAAATCACTTTTCTTGGAGCTAGTAAATAGGAGCAGGTGATGTAATACTTTATTTAGAAAATAGAAAAATATTACAGGAGATATTGACATTAAAAATTAGCTGCTGACTATGCTTTATAGAAAATGTTTAGGAGTATAATTAACTTGTATATTGCTTATATTGCATTATATAGTAGGTATAAATTATTCATTTGACACTCTTCTTATCCTCTGTCTCATCTCTTGCCATATAGTATATTGCATTTTTAAAATATCCTTAATGTATCACAACTACAATGTTCTACCCTCTTTGTTTGGACAGAGAAAGGGCAAGTGAAGAATGGACATGGTAGTAAGCAGGAGAGAAAGAACAAAAATTGACAGTGGTTGTGGGAGCTTAGTGTCAGGTAGGAGAGGAGCACAGCAGGGAGAAGGTGGGAAATGAACAGGGACTAGAGAGGGAGAGCAAGGACCCAGTGGACTATGGTGGAGGACTGTGGATGCCTTCCTGGTGAGCGGGGTAACGTACATCTGCAGAGGTGTGAACTGGTACCTCTGAACCATATGCATTGTTATAAACCAGTGTTACTGCAATAAAAATTTAAATAAAAGAAAGTATGAAACATATGATAACCTCTTCTACAGCATTTAAATAGTTTCCCAAGTCCAAGAATGTTGTAAGATAAGTTATCTTGAAAGATTTTTATCAACATCAAAAAAAGCAAAAGGGAACGGAAAATGGTAGAGATGGAGTAATGTGCTAAAGACTGTTCCCAGGAAATTCTGTCCTTCCCCCTAATATTTCTTCTCTGGTATTTCTTTCACGGTTTATTTGGTTCACTCATTGTGGACAAACCATAGTTGTGCATTGAGTAAGAGAATCTTTGGGATGCATACTGTCTATAGCCAGGGAATGACAGACGTTGTCACCTTCCTCTTTCTGCTCATGTGGTCTGGCCATTCAGAATTGCTCATCCTTATTGGTCTTACCCTCGGCATAATGAGCCTCTCCCCTCAACCTGACACACAGGGTCACTTCTGTTTTTCCACCCCAGTCCACCCTAAACCATTTCTCTCAACTTTCTCAACTCTTTGGAGAAGCAAGGGCCTTTCCCTCAGCACCTCAGATCTGCTTCTTTTGTCCCAGAAAAGTCCTCTCTAGTGTCTCCCTGAGAGGTGCATTAATATGGTAGCAATTGTGAGAAGGCCTTAAGTTTTTATTACGGTTTATAGTAACTATGCTCTTCTTAGTGTGTGCTTATGTGCAGTTGGTTCATTTATCTGATTTTCATCAAGCTTTGCTTAAAGGTTAAGGTATTTTATTCAAAACTAGCCCTACGGAATGGTAAAAAAGTGTTTGGAAAAGTAAAAGTTCATTTCATTATTAGAGCTACAACCAATTTAAAAAATACCTGGACCTCCCCAGTGGTGCAGCAGGTTGAGCACAGCACTGTGAAGCTGTCCACAGCCTCTGCAGCACACGTTTGATTCCCGGCCGGCCAGAGAGATAACCACATGGCATGGCACACCTCTCCTGTCTCGCCCCGCTGCTCCCCTCAGCAGTGTATTTCAGTCCGTCTGCCTGGTCTCCCCGCTCTGTCTCTGGTGAATCCTCTCGCCCTCCTGTGCCTCTGACCTGTACACCAGTTCTTGTATTAAAATACATATATCTTAAAAAAAAATTATAAAAAATACCTTTGAAGCCAATAGTGACCATATTTTAATGTGAAATTATAGAGTCAATAAATTCTCCACTAAAGTCATCATGACAAATATTTTGAAATAAGCAATACAGAAAAGAAAGATTATGGATACTTCATTTCAGTGTGACTAGTTTCTCACTTACTTAAATGCATAAGGAAACATTATCAGGCTTATATTTTTTCTACAATAGAAACGGAAACATACAAGGAATATGTTCATTATATGAAAGGGCTCAGTTTAATCCATTTATTAAAAAATTCACCATCAGTATTTCACTCATATGAAATATTAACAACCAAAGCAATAGAAACTGGCAAAACACAACAAAATAACTCTTACTAGACTGTGGAAAATATGGTGGTTACCAGAGAGCAAGTGGTGGGGATGACTCCATGGATAAAGCATGTCAAATTGATAATGTAATGGCCCTAGGAAGTTTGGTGGTGGGTGAATGTAGCATATACACATGTCGAGAAGTTAAGCGATACTCCCCAAAGTATAGAGTTCTATGAAATAATGGTCAATAAATAGAGTTGATTTGTAAAAATTACCATCTTCCAGGTGCATGGAAATGTTGTTAAGTCTTAGTGGTGGATACATGAAAGTTCATTGTGACGGGCTCTCAATAGTTCCATAGGTTTGAAAATTTCATAAATATTTTTTCAAAAGCAAAGCATTATTTAAATGCTTTATAGTATTTATTGGATGTAGTTGAATTAATAATTAAATGGTCATCTATTTTTCACTCTTCTGAACTCATTTATTCCACATTTCAGGTGTTTAGTGAGCCGCACTAGGGTCATATGATCAGTGAAGTGGTACCATATTCATTTACACCTTAACAAAGATCCAGGAGCTGCACTGACCATTAAATTTATTCCATGATGTACTAAAAAACAAACATTGCTAAATAATTGAATTCTGTGAAAACATCTTGAAAGAAAAAGTTTGCAATACTTAAAAGATGTCCAAGAACATTAATTAATGAAATTCTATAATTATGACATTCATATCTACTTCCAACCCTAAGACATGCGTGATCTCCACTTGCAAGTTTATATCCTAAAATTCCTCATAGTGGAAAGTTACAAATCATCTATCAGTTAAAATGAGGTATATTCCATAATTTTTATTAACTTGTACTGTATCCACCTAGATGATTAAGGCATTAATGTATTTCTACCATGCTAAAGTGTCTTTGTCATTTGGAAAATCAGTATGTCCCATTCTAAATAAAAATACATCATATTTTCTTTTCAGATTTTCAGCCATACACTGTAATAACTGACAATATTTATCTGTGTAAGAGTGTGTAAGAGTGTGTGTATGTGTGCGTGGGTGTATAATCTGTGAATAATAGCAAATTTCTTTGTAAGTTTGCTCTGTTCTCCCTGTTTGAATACAAAGTACTTTGAGTACAAATACAAAAGCTGTTCATTGGTAGAAACACAACCCTTGCCAATTTGCTTCTAGGAATAAATTATCTTTTAATGGGATTTGTTTGGCACCAAATAGTCTCAGGAGTTGCACTCTGCTCAGATTTTGATCAAAGATGCAAACAATTTTGGAGCACTCTTCAGATTTCCTATGTGATACAGTGGCAATGTCATTAAAATGTCCCCTTTTAAAACAAGATTAAGCAATTTTTTTTTTTTAATTCAAGGGGACTTGTTAACAAAGAAAATATTCCTTCTGGATTCAGCAACCTTGATGATTGTATATTGAATGCTCAGGAAGTGGAAAAACTACATGAAAATTCCTCTGGTTTTATTGGAGAAAGTGGCAAACACAAACGTCAGAAATCCAGCACAAAACTTTCTGAGCTCAATGAAAATCAAGATGGTCTTCTGGTAAGTGAATAATTCTGTAAAATTTTTACTTATAGCCAGTTGGGAAATAGCTCTTCCTTACTTTATAAAAATTAAAAAATAATTTCAGTCTTGAGTTTTACAGAATTATTGAATGAATTCTTAAAGAAACATTAGAGCTACTAAGTATGCATACTTGTATTTCTTTTTAATAAACCTAAAGTTCAAAGCTGAGGAAGGTTATATTCTGCCCCCCAAACTGGAGACTGTAATCATTTTTGATTATCCTGTTACTTGAAATTGGTCTAATTTTTATCTTTTTTTTTTAGCATTTTAAATTTTTATTTTTGGAATAAAACTGTCAGTAGAGCATTTTTTTATGTTCCCCCATTTCATTTATTGTTTGCTATATGAATATGGAAAAAATTAATGAACAAACTTAAAGTGAGGTAAAAGAAAAATACGTAGGATAAAGAATCATTTTCCTGTTCAGAAATTCAGTTTCTTATCTTTAACATAAAGTATTTGCTTTCAGATTAATCAGAAATAAAAGATTAACGTTCTACACCATTACCTTAGACCTAAGTCCTGGATCATTAATTTGGGTATAAAAGTTGCTACAAGCTGTTTCAGTCAAAAACTAATTCTTACTCATTTAACTAGTAATATAGCATCATCCTCTTTTATGTATGCTTCAGTTTCTCTGAAAAATGAGAACCAGATTCTGTTTTCTAACTCCCTTTGATTAAAAAAATAATAATAATAAACAGATAAATTCTCTTATCTACTTTATTGTTGACCAGTTTTTAGCTTCATGTTGGGTTTTCCATACATTTAGCAATGCTTTTGGACCACCTATTTTCTCATTGAAATTTCTGCATGTACTAAGTAAAGATTCTTAATTTTGCCCAAAATTAAATATTTATATATGCAAATCTAGTGAAGGACATGTTGATTCAGTTTCTCCACCCAAAATGTCTTGATTCTCTGTTTCTTGAAGGAAACTGATTGGCTAGACAGACAGAAACAATCAACCGCTTCAACCCATCTCCAACTCAGTTCTCAAAGAATTTAAACTTTGGAACCATTACACACTAACTTTTTAAAAATTTAACCCAATTCTTATTTTGGGAAAAAGTAAATTTTAAAACAAAATGAATGATACTAACTTCATCAGCTCTTTATTGACCCATTCTTTTTGCTTTTGTGCTGAAGAGAACTGTAGGCTGAAGTCTACCATTTGACTTGAAAAGAATTTACTTCCCTGTCTGGATCCCTTTTTTGCATGAACCCATTAATATTTTTTTCAAATGAGGAGGAGTGTCTTAAGTCAGCTGGGTGAAAATAGCTAATAAAAGTGGAAAGATATGTTTATTTCTTAGATGTGTTTGATAAAACTATGAACATAGTCTTTGTTTAAAAACATTTGGGTGGGAGAGCCTAATTGCATTTGGTCTTTTTTTTTTTTATGTGAAAGGATTTGCCCCACCTTATCTGCCAGTTTCCGCATTCCAGGATTACACATGTCCTATGTTATGTTAATAAGCAAGCTAAATGAACCATGTTGCAGTGAGTAATTTAGAGCTATGCCAACACAACTGAGACAGAAAGAAAATTTCCTCATCTGTAAAGGGAGGGTGTTTGCTAAGATGCCTTCTAACTCTCATATTCCATGATTTTTTATATCTAATCTGACCACAAAGTGAAGAGCCAGGAACATAACAATGAGTATAATTCATTTAGACTACATCCTAAAAGTTAAGTTGCACATCTTAATTTCCCACTTTTTAAAAAAAATTTTTTGAGGACATGTTGGTTTTACATCATTGTATTTTGGGAGTTAGGTCCCTTCCCCCCTTCAACTTCCCACTTTTTTTAACCTTCTAATTTTACTTCCCCCAACTGTCTTCTGAAACCTTCCCCACCACAGTCAAATTCTTTGCACTCTGACCAAACTTTGATTTCTAAAGGTGAATATGAAAAAAGGAGTTATACACAATTACATGTTTCTGTGTGCTGGGAAATATTTGGGGTTCTGGGTTTATAGCAGTGAGAAAACAGACAAAAAATGCAGGCTTCAAGGGGCTTACATTCTACTGTGGGAAACTGAAAATTATCAAGATAGATAAGTAAATCATAAAATATGTAGTGGTAATTACTAAGAAGAAAAATAGGGCAGGAAATGGAGACAGGAATTGTAGGTGAGGCAGGAGATGCAAAATAGAGAAGACCACCTGATAATTGGAATGTAAAGACTGGAGGATAGGAGGAAGCAAGCCATACAATTGGAATAGCAGGAACAAAGGTACCGAAGTAATTGTTTATCCAGAACGTTAAAAAACCACAAAGACACTGTAGTCACTGGAAGAAAATAAGCAAAATGGAAGTGGTACTGGGAAAGAGAGCAGATAAAGTTTCACAGATCATTGTAATGGCTCTGCCTTTTATGTTGAGTGAGCTGAGAATCCACTGGAAGGTTGTAGATAGAATAGTGATTTGCATTCCTTAAATTTAGTTTGACTATCATGTTGAAAATAGACAGTGAACAAAGACAGAAACAGGGAAATCAGTTAGAAAAGTATTGCAGTAATCGAGGTTTGAACTTATGGTTTGAGCTAAGGTGTTACCAGAGCCAGCACCTATTATCATCTTGCAAGCTATACTGCAAGCCAGCACATATTATCATCTTGAAAGCTATACACTGTACTGTGTGAGAGGCACTATTCACATCAACCAAAACATGAGTTGTCCCTCCTGAAGCTGTGTGTTGCAGTAGTCACAAGATAGCAGATGGACTCTGGATCTATTTTGAAGGTAGAATTGACAGTCAGTGATGACTCCAGTGTTTTCACCTCATCAAGATTTTTATTGCCAGTTTACTGAGAAAGAGAAGACAGAAGTTTTGGGGAAAATCTCATGGGTTTAGATTTGAACATATCGAGATTGAGCTGCCCATCAGGTTTATAAAAGGAGCTATCAGGGAGGCAACTGGATATCTGAGTCTAAATTTCAGGAAGGATATCCTTGCTGGAGATGAAGATGTGGAAGTCATTGGTACAGAGAGGATATATTTAAAACCACTACAGTGGATGATGGTACAACCCGAGGAGTAAGTGTGGAGAGAAAAGAGGAATGCCCTCAGAAACTGTGATCCCTGAGGCACACCAACATTTAGGGGATGGAGATATGAGGAGGTACCAATATAACAGTCTTAAGAAGGAACTACCAGCAAAGCAGAGATTAAAATGACGTATGTTCGGTGTTATAGAAACCAGGAAAACCAAATATATCTGTAGTCATGGCAAATTAGAAGGAACTTAAATGTTCAAAAGTAGGAGATCAGATAAGTAACATTTGTATGTAACTTCAATACAATATTATATAATGATTAAAAATTATGGTTCTGAAGCCTGTCTAATACAGTGGGAAATGACAAGTCATATTTTAAGTGTCTTGCATTTTGTTACCATTTTTAATCCTCTCCAGTCATCCTTAAGGAAGATATTATCATTATCACCACTGTCACAATCATTATCACTCTATAAAAAAGAGGAAAATAAGGTCCACAAGATTAAACAACTTCTCCAAGGTCCCACATTGGTGGTAGAGCTGAAATTCCACTATACTCTCCTCAGTATTACAAGCAGGTTATGAGGCAACATCTACCTTCTATGCATTATGCATGTGTATGTATTTATATATATATATATGTATATATAAATATTTACTCCTAGGAAAAAAGACTGAAAGAAAATATAGCTAAAAAGTGATTTATGATTGTAAGATGGTGGCAGTAGTAGTTAGGAGTAATTGTTACTATATGCTCTATTTTCTAAATACTCTGTGTGATTATACTAATTCTATAATAAGCATTACATTTAATATATAAAAAGCAGAAATGTGGTCTAGTAACTCTCATATTTATAAGCATTATCTATTTAATGTCATGTGCACCCTCTGAAATTGCGGACAAGGTTCAGGTGCAAACCTGAAATCAAACCTGAATTTCAGTTCCAACTTAATATCTATGACATTTAATATCTACGACACATGAAAATGTTATTTAGTCTTAGTCACTTCATCTGTGAAATGGGGATATTAATATCTCATTGTAGTTTCTGTGAGATTTAAATGCAAATAACCATGCTAAATAGAAGAAACAGATAACAGTAAATATTTAAGTTCTTGTCTATTCCTTCTGCTCAATCTTCCTTCATTTTGCATCAAACGTTTTGATCAATCTAGCCCTTTTCGTTCCAGTTCTTTTCTAACTTGCTTATCAACCCCTGTAGTCCAGCCTCTGTCTCCCACTTCTCTGCAGAAGCTGCTTTCTCCATGTCACTGGCTGAACATGCAGTTGGAACTGACCCTTTAAGACCCTTGTCCTATAATGTCAACTTGGTCCTTGACTCCTCAATCCTTGTGGTGTTTGACACTTTGCCTTTTTTTCTCAGAGCTCTTTCTCCCTTGGCCTTTAAGCCCTCTTAGCACAATGACTATTTTCTTTTTTGCTCTACCTTTCACTGGCTAATAGTCCACAAAACCTGCTTGAATGTAAATGTTACACAGACTTGTGTCGTAACTCTTTCCCATCAGCACTTTGAGAGCACTTTATTTCCTCTTCCGTGGTTTCAAATGTCACCTCTCTACAAACGACTTCCAAATCAATGTTTGATTGATATTCTCTGCAGTTCACCTTAGGTAACACTTCAAAGTAAGCATGCTAAAACCAAACTCACTGTCTTTTTCTCTTTGATCTCTTTTCACTGAAGATATCCATCTGATTTCATCACATCCTCTTCCTACATCATTTCCTAAATCTTTTCCTTTGCCTTAGCACTCCTATCCTTCTAATTTTTCAGTCATTATCTCATACTTAGCTGAATCTGCTTGAAAAATATGTTATGTGTGTTCCCCTTTTTATGCTGTATTGTCATTATATAGCTGAGACCCCAATAACTAGCCTGGAATGGTAAAACAGCCACCCAACATATCTCCATGCCTTCTCCCTCTCTGTTCTCTAAATATTCTTATTGCCGCTG